GTGGATAACAAAGAGACATGGGATTTGAGAGAGAAGTACATGAAAAGAAAAGAAATCGTCAACCTGGTCTGTACTTGATATCCATGGCTGCAACAAATTCTGTGCAGTCAAAGATAGAAATTCAAGAAAAAAAAAAACTATATAGTAATATAATGTTTGCAAACATGTGAAATTAGACAGAACAAGTCACATATTTCTAAACAATCATGTCACTGAGATTCTTAAAACTTCCCATAATGATGTTGATGAATTACCAGACAACTCTCTCAATACAAGATTTCCTTCCTCTAGAAGAACTGCTTCTAGAGAACTTGTGGAGGTAGAGGTCAGATTCGTGAACCAAATTGGCACTGGGCCTCGTTGAAAAGGACTAAATTACCATCTGAGATTCTTAAAACTGAAGACATTTATCAGAAATTGGATGTCTTATTTGCCACCCAAACTACATTTTGTGCAGACACTTTACCATACCACATGCATAAATAGTAGTTTGAAGGCTTTACCTGGCTTGAAGAAGCCTAATACAAAGTCCCACCGGCAGAGACAATAGTTCATCACCGACGAGAGTTTGGTTGCAGAGATGGTATCAGCGCCAAAAGCGACATAAGTTTTGAGAGAGAAGCACATGAAAAGAGAGAAAGCGCAAACCATGAATTGTTCATGGTATGCATGGCTGCAACAAATTTTAAGTAGAAAAGATAGATATTTCAGTAAAACCGGAGATCTATACTATGGTGTTTTCTTCCACTATTTATTAACAAATTTCTTTACCGTGCTTGCGATGTTAAATAAAATAGACAAGAAATTTAATGTAACAAAAGTCTTCCTTTTCTCACTGCGGTCAATTCTTGGTGAATTAGGTCTCGTGAAGTTGAAAAATCAAATCAAAGTATTACTTGGAGTCTTCGGAATGAAGTTGAAAGTCAGCTCTGAGTCAAAGATATTAAAAAATCACTTTGCTCAATTTAACGTTAGTGACTCCCACCACAAATACATCGCCGTGTACCAGAGGGTGGTTAATGCAGACTTTGTGGATACCAAATTTGTTCAAAACTAATATTTATTGTGATAACTTAGTTTGTTAAAGTTTCACGAGTTTGAGTTAGAATTCGAGATTAATATTGAGATCTTACTAATCATAATTTTAAGTTATAAAAGATTAGTAAGTGGGTACAAACTAGTTTAGATCTTGAACAACCTTGTGATAATAAAAAAATAAATATAATGGATTAAGGTTGTTGTTGACTAATATTTGAAATAGGATATTATTGATGACAACCTAAACTTAAGAGACATAATTGAATCGATTTTGTCTAATGGCATGGCATCGATTATAACTTTATTAATTTTATTGACTTTTAATTTCAAAACTTCAATCATAGTTTGTCAATTGATTTGCATATTAACGATAGAAAAAAGAAAGGAAAATAACTGTTCAACAAATGAAGAAAGGAAATTAAGTGTTCAAAAATGCAGATTATGTAACGATAAAAAATATAAAATTCTTACAAATTATTAAAATCGAAATCGCCAATGTAGCACCTTATTAATAATGTTTTGCATAAAAAATTTGCAAGAAACCCAACCCATCGTGAAATTTTTGCTTGGACTCTTTTTTTTTTTTTAGCGGTGGACAATGATTGGAAGGCTAATATATATTGCAGAGAGAGAATCATGTAAGGGGTGGGATCGGTTGATATGGATTACAGTCCATGCATCAGATACGAAAGATAGCTTTGACCTTCTCAATTAAGAGACTGAGAGAATAAATTGAAGTTAAAGGTGAATTAGAGAGACTGAGAGAATGAATATGAAATTAGAGGTGAATGTGTTGAGGTTTGAGTCTTAATTTTGGAATTTATAGTTTATCTGTATTATATTCATTTACTTTGTGATTTTATAAATTCCTACACACTATATATAATAAATATGATTTCAAAAGTGGATCTCTTTATGTGTGTAATGTTGGAGATTTTTTATTAAATTTCTAGTAAGTCCCAGTAAATGATAAATGAAAATCCATGAACTTTGATTTCTTCGATTGGTATAAAATAAGTGATTATTATATATCAGTTATCATTTTAAATATTTTTATTATGTGATATCAAAACTCATGTAACATAGCACTCTTTCAACTGAGCCAGATTTTTCTGGGTAGGAGGTTACATGACATAGTTTTCCTATGAAGTAAAATATATTATATATTTTTGAGTAATTAGTGAACCACCTGAAGCCAAAATTACGTGTCGATGATGTGGCCTACGATGAAGAGCTGAAGGATTATATAATCTAGGCAGAAGTAGAGGCAAGAGAGGTAATATAATTGCTGAAGTATGCCAAATAAAAAAGAGAGAAGAAATACTTCAATTGTATTTTGTATATTGAATTGTGTTGTACTCTTTACAAGTGATGAGTTTGTACAAAAACTAAAGAGCTAACAAAGGAAATACAATTAAAAGGAAATCAACTACATGAATTTAGCATCAATCAATTACTTGAAATCAGCCTTGATCAATGATGCTAAATATCTTCAATTAGCCGTGATTCCAGCATGCATTCCATATTCCATCAGTTTATCTTTTTCCCCTTTTATAGGATGGTGTTGCATAGAGTCAAAATTAGAATAGTCTCAATTCTTTTCCCCTGACGTATCAAATTGCACATATCCTCTGTCCTCATGACCAATTTAGTTGAGTTTCTCTCAACACATTTAGAGGTCGGATTGGGAATATGGAGCCAATATTGAGAGGGCAAAAGAAATTGTACCAATCACATACCTATAGGCACAAAAGTGCGTTAAATTAATGACATCAGGTAGCTAATCGAAGGTTCTGGCTTTAAAATAAGATATTCCCAGAACTTCAAAAAAAAAAAAAAAAAAAAAATATTGAGCTAGTGGGTAATCAAGATTCATCTTCTACTCAGCTTAAAGTTGGGGATCTATAAAAATTATAATGCAGATAAAAAGTACCGCGCCTTAATGGCAGAAAGAGTCAAGGCAAATCTTTTAAAAATTCGAATATCAAAATATCATTTTTCTTTTTGCATCAATGCCAGTTGGCTCTACAATTATAGATTGCGGATTTTCTACTTCTGTCTACCTACTACCGATACAAGTGACTGACTATTATATGCTAACACTCCTCTTAATTAATCAATTAATTTAAAGGAGCAGGGTCTGTGCTGGCTGATTCAGAATACTGGTCGAATCTTCACCTTTCAACGGTTCTTAAATTCTCAAGGAACAACTCAGAACACTAGAGGAAAATGCGTCGCTTTTTTGCTTGAGGTACTCAATCTTCATTTCCCGTAAACACTAAGTTGGCTGTGTCTTGTAATTTAGTCCAATTAGGCCACATCTGACCAGTTAATGTTGTAGATATGAGTTACTTAGTATGATTTTATTAAAGAAAAAGCAGAGACATAAAGTTGTGACCTTCTATTAGTCTTTAATAATTTCCCAAGGAATTGTGAGATAAATTTCTCGTTTACATCACAATTCAACCCGATTCTAATGTTAAAAATGAAATTCAGGTAGGTCTAAAATCATATCTTAATATTTAGGTTTTCATTTAATAAAAAACGAAGAGGAAATGGAGTTCATTCAAATTCAAAATCCCAGCTTTAACACGTAATTTGATGATGAGGCGATGTTGCTTCCATGGATCACCAGTACTGTTGGTTTTTAGAGCTGGAGTATATTCAGAAATGAAGGCCAAAACAGACGAGAGAGAGAGAGTTGTAGAGGGGGAAAAAAAATTTGAACTGAAATTTTGCTCTACTTTTCATTCATAAAAGAGAGGTGTTTTATTCAAAATATCATCTACTGTTTCACCAATATTACAAGGGTATTTTACAAAATACATTCTTAACCATTTATCTAAAACCAATGCTGGTACAAACCATTAAAATAAAGCCTTAACAAGCAGCTGCTATCACCTAAAGCCATCACATTAACAATTCAAAAATGAAACAGCTTCACCAACTGCAATCTGCCCAGCAGCATTCAAACCTTACGCCAAAAACCTGCAAATTCAAACCTTACGCCAAAAACCTGCAAATTCAAACAGCAACATGTGCACATATTTCCAGCAAAATATCATCGGCTTCAACAAAGTACAAAAGGGCATACAAGAGAAAATTAAACAAGGCTTATAACTACAAAAACAGCAGTAGCAAAATACATTACTATTCCAAACATGTCTTCCGTGGATACATACATACATACATATATACATACAAAGTAACCAGGAAAAAAAAGAAAAAAACCAACTAAGCCACTTATTACACCGACCTGAAACTGACATCAAGAAGCCAAAACATTTATTCTTCAACCAAATACGAAAAAACTGAAAACATATCGACTTGATTCTCCTGTTTAGGAAGTTTTTGAGGATGTGCTGCTCTTAGCTTGAGATGAAACAGTCTCAAGTGTTGTTACTCTGTGACTGTGAACTCTGGTTTGAGGACGAGTCAGTAAAGAAGATTACGTGCTCCTGGCTGTCAGCAAATACTTGGAGAGATCTTGGAACTGGAGACTGCGTCACTTCCAAAAGCCCCTCAAGGATCTGAACCACTTGACTCATTGATGGCCTATGAGTTTCATCATCTTGGATGCACCAACAAGCCACTTTACAAATTCTGGAGAGCTCTTCTACATCAGCAGTGCCCTCCAGCCTTGGATCTAATAGTGTAAGGAGATCATCGCCTATGGCAATTTGGTTTGCAGCCCAAGTTGGGAAGTATTTCACTTTTCCGTCTTCAAATTGCTCATAGTTTCTCCTTCCAGATGCAATTTCAAAAAGCATCATACCATAGCTGTAAACATCTGCTTTGGCTGTAATGGCCACTCCTGAAATCCATTCTGGTGCGAGATAACCTCTTGTCCCTCTCATGGTTGTTAGGACTCGGCTGAACTCCCTCCCGATAAGCTTTGCCAAGCCAAAATCTGCCACTTTTGGACAAAATTCAGCATCTAATAAAATGTTCTCTGGCTTTATGTCACAGTGTATGATGCAATCTCTGCACTTATCATGAAGATAAGCCAACCCTCTGGCCGTCCCCAGTGCAATACTGTATCTTGTTTTCCAATCAAGAACCTTTAAATCCTTTTCAGGGAACAGATGGGAATTTAAAGAACCATTCGGCATGAAATCATAAACCAATAACTTTTTAGCACCTTCAGAGCAGAATCCAAGAAGCCGAACAAGATTGACATGTTGGATATTCCCAATTGTGCTGACTTCTGTTCGAAATTGCTTCTCACCTTGACTAATGCTTTCAAGCCTCTTCACAGCTATGGCATTTGAATTGGGCAACATCCCTTTGAAAACAGAACCAAAACCTCCACCGCCCAATTTCTCAGAAAAATTCTTGGTCGCAATTTGCAAGTCCCTGTATGCAAATGCCACCAATGAACCTTCCACTGCTTTGGCTGATTTGATCGTTCTCCTTCTCCTCAAGTACACAACCACAAAGAGGCCTACAAGAAGTATGAGAACAGCTGACCCCCCAACAGCACCACCAATCACCGTTCCCTTGTTATTTCTTGGATTTGGAATATCAGAGGCTGCAAGCTTGATATAAATTGTTTTGCCATCTGTGTCATCTTGTGCAAGTCGTTGAAGATTCAAGAGATCTCCCACCCAAACTGAACATGCGTTGTTTTCATAAGCATAAGCAGTGCAAGAGCAGTTATTCAAGCATGTTGATTCACATTCCGCGATACTCCCTACCCGAACAGACTGTGGTTTTTTAGGTAATACCATGTTAAAAATTTTTAAAAACTTGTCACTCTTCCCATTGGCAAGACTATTATTTTGACACTGCAGTTGGGTTTTCCTCACACAACCCCCAGAATGATCCCCCATCAAGTTCCAATCATGGTCTAATTTTGGTTTAAAACCTGGCAAACAAGCACAAAAACGCTGAGTCTGCTCATTGCAGCTGCCAAATGGACCACAATAAGCGTAAACGTCACAGGGTTGTCTCGGTTGAGACCAAAACTGAAACCAAGTCTTGCTGGCATCTGCCCAGTACAATTGCTTAATTTGCCCTGCTGAATCCATAACAAATCGAGATATGATGGGATCTATAAGAAAATACATGAAATAACTTTCATTTTCATTTGACACATAGGTGAAATTGAAAAAATGACGCGATACCATTTCAGGAACCATGCTGAAAATTTGACCATTCCATAAACCACTACTCCAGTACTGTTCGGAATAATTCCACAATATAACATATTGATCAAGTCCGCTTGGGTCTAACCCAAGAGAGAAGAGACCAGATGCAGGATCTTCTTTGTTCTTCCATGAAGTGAGAAGTTGGTTTTCCTTGGTCCGCTTGTTTCGTCGAATCTTCATACCAGGGAGCCATGTATCAGTTGGATTTTCAAAACTTTGCCATAAAGGCATCGACGAATTACTCGACCAATTTCTTAAAACAAGATTTCCTTCATCAAGAAGAACTGCTTCTATAGAAGCTGAACCTGTACTGTTGGTGGAGTTCAAATTTGTGGACCAAATTGGTATTCTGGACTCGTTGAAAAGGACTAAATTACCACCTGATATTCTTAACACTGAGGAATATCTATCAGAAATTGGTTTGTTTCTATTTGCCACCCAAACAACGTTTTTTTCAGACACTTTTTTGTACCAGATGCCTATATAGTAATTTGAAGAATTACCTGGCTTGAAGAAACCTAGTTCAAAGGTCCCACCTTCAGAGACAATAGTTCGATCACCAGAGAGAGATTGGTTTGCAAAGATGGTGTCAGCTCCAAAGGATACATTCGATTTTAGAGAGAAACACATGAAAAGAACAAAAACCATCAACCATGAATTGTTCTTGGTATCCATTGCTTTGCTGCAACAAATTCTCTGCACAGAATATGAATTTTTCGGAAACCAGAGATCTAGGTGTAAATCAGCTGTGTGTTACAAAGAGAATTCTTTGACATTGTTAAGAGGTAGTTTATATTCATTAATGCACGTAAAAGCCGAAGTACATGTAATTGTAATATACCAGCAAGAAGTGAATGCTGTATCTGACATCAATTTGGACGCTTTAGAAGAAAAGTCAAAGTTATGGCGTCAACAAATGGTCAATAGAAGACCGAAACACTGAAAAACTGATGTTAATTATCTGTGTTACACTTACTAGTGCAACCACTATATTATAGTCAACAAAGCATTCAAATTAAAGCTACTCAAGTTAATGGTAATTAAGTAAAACTTACCTTTCCATCGTAATCTTTGTCATTATAAAAACGGTAACTTAATCTATGCAAAATCTACAAAGTTTACCAAATACATTGACCCAGTATTTTATGATAAAGTGGTCATTAAGTAAGAATATGATATAGGTTATGGAAGGAGGAGGAGGAGAAATTAACACCGACAGAAGCACATGCATAAAACCAGCTACGTCTTTAGTTTTCCTGCACGACATCTCTGAAACGCCATCAATCCTTCCACCTCCCCTCCTGTTATTAACTTATTTGTTGAGTTTAATTACCAGTAAATTATCAACTTAATGAAAATCTTCAAGAAATTACATCACAATATGTGTATAATTTATACAATTAAATAAGTTGTAATAAAAGGAAATGAAATAATAGAAAATACTATTACAAATGTGCTATAGTTTGCCGAGATTATCTCCATTAACACCCTTCATCTGTGGCTGTTGTCTCGGCTTCATTATTGTCGTGCTTATCTCCATTAAAAGTTTCTCAAGTATGGTATATTTTCATCTTATTTATATGTCAATTGCAAATTAGATCACATTGAGCACATACAAGAATTAAAAGACATAAGCGAATCAGCTAAAGAAGCTTAAGTCCTGAATTATACCAACCGAATTTTATAAATTATAATTCCATTAAAATTTGGATACATTCTTCATGTTAGCTCTTAGTACTTTTCATCTACATTACAAGTGATACCTATATTTTGTCATACTTAACACATTCAACTCATATAATGGTAAGTAAAACTTACCTTTCCATCATTAAAATTGTCATTATAATAATATTACTTACTATAAACCACTTTCTCCAGATTTTACGAAATACATTGACCTAATATTATGTGATAAATTATTAATTACGCAGTTAATGATGTGACAAATATCAATCATATGGAAGAGGAATGCGAACACTATTATATGTTCAGTTTTGTTGATGCTTATCTAGTTATCTTATAGAATCCGAAATGCACATTTATAGTTGACCACTTCAAAGAAAATTATCAACTTTAAAGTAATTGAATTTTTTATATCATTACATTGCCCTCAGAATCCAATATGATAAATGAAAATCCATGAATGCCTTTGATTTCTTCGATTGGTATATAAAAAAGTGATTATTATATATCAATTATCATTTTAAATATTTTTATTATGTGACATCAAACTCTATGTTAACATAAAACTCTTTCCACATGAGCCAGATTTTTCTGGGCATACACTGCAGTGAATGCTTATAAAACATAGCTGTAGGAGGTTACATTATCTGAAATACAAATATATATTATTTTTGAGTAATTAGCTGACCCACCTGAAGCCAAAATTACGTGTCGATGATGTGGCCTACGATGAAGCAGCTGAAGGATTATTATTCTGTGAATGCGGACTCTGGTTTGAGGATGAGGATGAGGCCGTGAAGAAAATTATGTGGTCCTGGTAGTGAGAATATGCTTGGATAGATCTTGGAATTGGAGACTGCGTCACGTCCAAAACCCCCTCAAGCTTTTGAACTACTTCACCCATTGATGGCCTTTGAGTTTCATCATCTTGGATGCACCAACAAGCCACTCTACATATTCTTAAGAGCTCTTCTATATCAGCATTGCCCTCCAGCCTAGTATCTAACAAGTTGAGGACATTAACACCCTCAGTTATTGCGCTAGCGACCCAAGTTGGGAAGAATTTCGAATTTTCACTATCAAATTGCTCAGAGTTTCTCCTTCCTGATACAAGTTCAAAAAGCGTCATCCCGTAGCTATAAACATCAGCTTTATCTGTAATGGCAACTCCTGAAATCCATTCTGGCGCAAGATAACCTCTTGTCCCTCTTATGGTTGTTAGGACTCTGCTAAACTCCCGCCCAATAAGTTTTGCCAGGCCAAAATCTGCCACTTTTGGACCAAATTCAGCATCTAATAAAATGTTTTCAGGCTTTATGTCACAGTGTATGATGCGGTCTCTGCATTTTTCATGGAGATAAGCTAAGCCTCTGGCTGACCCCAGCGCGATTCTGAATCTTGTTTTCCAATCAAGAATTTTTGAGCCCTTTTCATGGAAGAGAACGGAATTTAAAGAACCATTTGGCATGTATTCATAGACTAACAACCTCTTTGTACCTTCAGAGCAGAATCCTAGAAGCCGAACTAGATTGACGTGATTGATATTTCCTATTGTGGTGACTTCTGTCCGGAATTGCTTCTCCCCTTGGCTGATGCTTCCAAGCCTCGTCACAGCTATGACACTTGAATCAGGCAGCACCCCTTTGAAAACAGAGCCAAAACCTCCTCCACCCAATCTCTCCGAAAAGTTCTTTGTCGCCTTCTGCAATTCTTTGTATGAAAACGCCACCAACGAGCCCTCCATTGCTTTCGTTGTTTTAAAAGTTCTCTTTTTCCATCTCAAGTATGCAACCACAACAAGGCCTAGGAGAAGTACGAAAGCCGCTGAGCCAACACCACCATCAATGAATTTTCTATCGTCATTCCTGGGACTTGAAAACTCATATGCTGCAATCTTGATGTAAATAGTTTTTCCGTCTGTATCACCTACTGCAAGTTGTTGCAGATTCAAGAGACTACCAATCCAAATTGAACACTGGTTGTTTTCATAAGCGTAAGCAGTACAAGCGCAGTTATTTAAGCAGCTCGTTTCACATTGCTTAATGTTGGCTACTGGGGCAAATTGCAGATGTTTAGGCAAATCCTTGATAGTCGTTGCCATAAATCTGTCACTCTTTCCATTGACAAGACTGCTATTTTCGCACTGCAGTTGTGATTTCCTCTGACAACCACCAGAATAATCCTGCAAGTTCCAATCATGCTCTGATTTTGGCTGAAAACCTTGCAAACAAGAACAGAACGGCTGACTTTGCTCATTGCAGCTGCCAAATGCACCGCAATAAGCGTAGACCTCGCAAGGTTGTCTAGGTTGAGCCCAAAACTGAAACCAAGCCTTGTTAGACTCCAACCAATAAAGTTGCATCATCTGCCCAGAACTATCAATTATTAATCGAGATATAATGGTGCCTGCCACGGAATAAGTGAAATAGCTTTCGTTCTGATTCGAAACATAGTTGAAATCGAACATATGATGTGATATCATTTCAGGAATCATGGCGAAATTTATTCCATTCCATATTCCACTAGTCCAGTACTCTTCAGACTGATTCCTCACTATAAGATACTGATCCAAACCAGCAGGATCTAGTTCAAGAGAGAAGAGACCAGGTGCAGGATCTTCTTTATTTTTCCATGCAGTGAGAAGCTGGTTCACTTTGGTGCGCTTGTTACGCCCAAACTTCATACCAGGAAGCCATGTATGGGTTGGATGATCAAAACTTTGCCATAACGGCATGGACGATTTAGAAGACCAATCTCTCAAAACAAGATTCCCCTCATCCAGAAGAACTGCCTCGGTGGAAGTATTGGTGGTGGAGGTCAAGTTTGTGGACCAAATTGTTAATTTGGACTCGTTCAAAAGAACTAAATTACCATCAGAGAATCTTAAAACCGAGGAATATCTATCAGAAATTGGTTTATCTCTATTTGCAACCCAAACTATGGTTTGTTCAGATATTTTATGGTACCACATACCTATATAGTAGTTTGAAGAATTACCTGGCTTGAAGAAACCTAATTCAAAGACCCCACCTTCAGAGACAATAGTTTGATCACCAGAGAGAGAGTGGTTTGCAGAGATAGAGTGAGCTACAAAAGAGACATGGGATTTGAGAGAGAAGTACATGAAAAGAAAAGAAATCGTCAACCCTGGTCTGTACTTGATATCCATGGCTGCAACAAATTCTGTGCAGTCAAAGATAGAAATTCAAGAAAAAAAAAAAAACTATATAGTACATATAATGTTTGCAAACATGTGAAATTAGACAGAACAAGTCACATATTTCTAAACAATCATTGTTCACTGAGATTCTTAAAACTTTCCCATAATGATGTTGATGAATTACCAGACAACTCTCTCAATACAAGATTTCCTTCATCTAGAAGAACTGCTTCTAGAGAACTTGTGGAGGTAGAGGTCAGATTCGTGAACCAAATTGGCACTTGGGCCTCGTTGAAAAGGACTAAATTACCATCTGAGATTCTTAAAACTGAAGACTATTTATCAGAAATTGGATTGTCTCTATTTGCCACCCAAACTACATTTTGTGCAGACACTTTACCATACCACATGCATAAATAGTAGTTTGAAGGCTTTACCTGGCTTGAAGAAGCCTAATACAAAGTCTCCACCGGCAGAGACAATAGTTTCATCACGACGAGAGTTTGGTTTGCAGAGATGGTATCAGCGCCAAAAGCGACATAAGTTTTGAGAGAGAAGCACATGAAAAGAAGAGAAAGCGCAAACCATGAATTGTTCTGGTATGCATGGCTGCAACAAATTTTAAGTAGAAAAATAGATATTTCAGTAACCGAGATCTATACTACTGGTGTTTTTCTTCCACTATTTATTACAAATTTCTTTACCGTGCTTGCGATGTTTAACTAACATGACAAGAAATTTAATGTACAAAATGTTCCCTTTTCTCACTGCGGTCAATTCTCTGGTGAATTAGGCTCTCCGTGAAGTTGAAAAATCAAATCAAAGTATTCCTTGGAGTCTTCGGACTGAAGTTGAAAGTCAGCTCTGAGTCAAAGATATTAAAAATACTTTGCTCATTTAACGTTAGTGACTCCCCACCACAATACAACGCCGTGTACCAGAGGGTGGTTAATGCAGACTTTGTGGATCCAAATTTTGTTCAAAACTAATATTTATTGTGATAACTTAGTTTGTTAAGTTTCAGCACGAGTTTGAGTTAGAATTCGAGATTAATATTGAGTTCTTATCTAATCAATATTTTAAGTTATAAGATTAGTTAAGATGGGTACAAACTATTTAGATCTTAACAACCCTTGTGATAATAAAAAATAAATAAATGGATTAAGGTTGTTGGTTGACTAATATTTGAAATAGGAATATTATTGATGACAACCTAAACTTAAGAGACATAATTGATCGATTTTGTCTAATGGCATGGCTCTATTATTCACTTTATTAATTTTATTGACTTTCTTAATTTCAACTTCATTCATAGTTTGTCCATGATTTCATATGTAACGATAGAAATAAAGAAAGGAAAATAACTGTTCAACAAATGAAGAAAGGAAATTAAGTGTTCAAAAATGCAGATTATGTAACGATAAAAATATATAAAATTCTTACAAATTATTAAAATCGAAATCGCCAATGTAGCACCTTTTTTAATAATGTTTTGCATAAAAAATTTGCAAGACACACCAACCCTCGTGAATAATTTTTGCTTGGACTCTTCATTTTTTTTTTTTTAGCGGTGGACAATGATTGGAAGGCTAAGATTAATATTGCAGAGAGAGAAATCATGTAAGGGTGTGGATCTGGTTGATATGGATTACAGTCCATGCATCAGATACGAAAGATAGCTTTGACCTTCTCAATTAAAGAGACTGAGAGAATAAATATGAAGTTAAAGGTGAATTAGAGAGACTGAGAGAATGAATATGAAATTAGAGGTGAATGTGTTGAGGTTTGAGTCTTAATTTTGGAATTTATAGTTTTATCTGTATTATTATTCATTTTACTTTGTGATTTTATAAATTCCTACACACTATTATATAATAAATATGATTTCCAAAAGTGAGATCTCTTTATGTGTGTAAATGTTGGAGATTTTTTATTAAATTTCTAGTAAGTCCCATGTAAATGATAAATGAAAATCCATGAATGCCTTTGATTTCTTCGATTGGTATAAAAATAAGTGATTATTATATATCAGTTATCATTTTAAATATTTTTATTATGTGATATCAAACTCATGTTAACATAGCACTCTTTCAACATGAGCCAGATTTTTCTGGGTAGGAGGTTACATTGACATAGTTTTCCTATGAAGTAAAATATATTATATTATTTTTGAGTAATTAGCTGACCCACCTGAAGCCAAAATTACGTGTCGATGATGTGGCCTACGATGAAGCAGCTGAAGGATTATTATTCTGTGAATGCGGACTCTGGTTTGAGGATGAGGATGAGGCTGTGAAGAAAATTATGTGGTCCTGGTAGTGAGAATATGCTTGGATAGAACTTGGAATTGGAGACTGCGTCACGTCCAAAACCCCCTCGAGCTTTTGAACTACTTCACCCATTGATGGCCTTTGAGTTTCATCATCTTGGATGCACCAACAAGCCACTCTACATATTCTTAAGAGCTCTTCTATATCAGCATTGCCCTCCAGCCTAGTATCTAACAAGTTGAGGACATTAACACCCTCAGTTATTGCGCTAGCGACCCAAGTTGGGAAGAATTTCGAATTTTCACTATCAAATTGCTCAGAGTTTCTCCTTCCTGATACAAGTTCAAAAAGCATCATCCCGTAGCTATAAACATCAGCTTTATCTGTAATGGCAACTCCTGAAATCCATTCTGGCGCAAGATAACCTCTTGTCCCTCTTATGGTTGTTAGGACTCTGCTAAACTCCCGCCCAATAAGTTTTGCCAGGCCAAAATCTGCCACTTTTGGATCAAATTCAGCATCTAATAAAATGTTTTCTGGCTTTATGTCACAGTGTATGATGCGGTCTCTGCATTTTTCATGGAGATAAGCTAAGCCTCTGGCTGACCCAAGCGCGATTCTGAATCTTGTTTTCCAATCAAGAATTTTTGAACCCGTTTCATGGAAGAGAATGGAATTTAAAGAACCATTTGGCATGTAATCATAGACTAACAACCTCTTTGTACCTTCAGAGCAGAATCCAAGAAGCCGAACTAGATTGACGTGATTGATATTTCCCATTGTGGTGACTTCTGTCCGGAATTGCTTCTCTCCTTGGCTGATGCTTTCAAGCCTCTTCACAGCTATGACGCTTGAATCAGGCAGCAACCCTTTGAAAACGGAGCCAAAACCTCCTCCACCCAATCTCTCTGAAAAGTTCTTTGTCGCCTTTTGCAATTCTTTGTATGAAAACGCCACCAACGAGCCCTCCATTGCTTTCGTTTTTTTGAAAGTTCTCTTTTTCCATCTTAAGCATGCAACCACAACAAGGCCTAGGAGAAGTACGAAAGCCACTGAGCCAACAACACCATCAATGAATTTTCTCTTGTCATTCCTGGGACTTGAAAACTCATATGCTGCAAGCTTGATGTAAATAGTTTTTCCGTCTGTATCACCTACTGCAAGTTGTTGCAGATTCAAGAGACTACCAATCCAAATTGAACACCGGTTGTTTTCGTAGGCGTAAGCGATACAAGCGCAGTTATTTAAGCAGCTCGTTTCACATTGCTTAATGTTGGCTACTGGGGTAGATTGCAGATGTTTAGGCAATTCCTTGGCAGACGTTGCCATAAATTTGTCGCTCTTTCCATTGACAAGACTGCTATTTTCACACTGCAGTTGCGATTTCCTCTGACAACCACCAGAATAATCCTCTAGCGAGTTCCAATCATGCTCCGAATTTGGCTTAAACCCTGACAAACAATCACAGAAAGGCTTATTTTGCTCACGGCAGCTGCCAAATGCACCGCAATAAGCATAAACCTCACAAGGGTTTCTCGGTATAGACCAAAACTGAAACCAAGTCTTGCTAGTCTCTAACCAATACATTTGCTGAACCTGCCCTGAAGCGTCCATAACAAATTGAAATGTTATTGGAGCTGCTACAGAATATGTGAAATAGCTCTCGTTCTCATTCGAAACATGGCTGATGTTGAACATATCATTACTTTTAAGGTACATCATTTCAGGAACCAAGCTGAAATATTGTCCATTCCATAATCCGCTAATCCAGTATTGTTCAGTCCTGTTCCGCAACATCACATATTGATCGGATCCATCTGGATTTGGCTCAAAGGAGAACAGACCGAGTGCAGGATCTTCTTTATTTTTCCATGAAGTGAGAAATTTTGCCACTTTGGTCCTCCTGTTCCGTCCAATCTTCATACCAGGGAGCCATGTATGAGTTGGATTATCGAAACTTTGCCATTACGTCACTGACGAATTAGTGGACCAATCTCTTAAAACAAGATTCCCTTCATCCAGAAGAACTGCTTCCAGTTCTTGTACAAAACTTGTGGTGACAGAGTTCAAACTCGTGGACCAAATTGGTATTTGGGATTCGTTGAAAAGGACTAAATTACCATGCGAGAATCTTAACACAGAAGAATACCGATCATAGATTGGTTTATCTCTATTTGCCACCCAAACAATGGTTTTTCCAGACAACTTGTTGTACCAGATGCCTATGTAGTAGTTTGAAGAATTACCTGGCTTGAAAAAGCCTAATTCAAAGATCCCACCTACGGAAACAATGGTTTGATCACCAGAGAGGGATTGATTTGAGGAGATGGTATCTGATCCAAAGGAGAGATGGGATTTGATCGAGAAGCATATGAAGAGAACAAAAACTACGAATTTGATATCCCTTGGTGCAAAAAATTGAATCATTTGCAAGCTAGACATCACAGGAGGAAGAATTTCATATCATTTGTCTGTGTGCATGTGCACCTATATGTGTGGAAGAGGAAGGGTGTCGCGTTGCTAAATAGTCATGCCGTAATTAAACCGCTGTTTATTCCCCTGTGAAGTCAACCAATCTGCTGCAGATTAAACTGACCGTTATGCTCTTACTCTCAAGTCAAGTTATGAAAACAACAGTCAATTAATTGGTTAAAAGTCATATTAGAAATAAGCGTGCTACCCTTCCACCCGCCATGTTACCGTCATTGAACATGTCTTCCGTAATTTCAGTTTCCATGCTTATATACAGTTTATTGGAAATCCATGGTTTTAAATACAGAAAAATATATATATACGTATCATGCTCTAAAATATTAATTAGACAACTTAAAAAAAAACAACTAATTCGTAAAATTAGCATAATCCTTCCTAAATATCTTATCACTCACTAAAGGTACCTATTGTTACTGTATTTTTAATACGCAATTATCTTGAATTTGGATGCTTCCAAATGTTTGATCTATTGGCTACACCAGGAATAGTGAAGTTGAATGAAGACCAATAAATATATTATGGAAAATGATAGAGTTACCGAAAAGTTTACACCGAATTTGTGCACCGAATGACGTGATAAAATCTTGACCGTTGATTAATATTAACTGATAATAAATAAACGGTCAAGATTTTGTCACGTCATTCGGTGCACAAATTCAGTACACACCCGTCGATAACTGTAGCATTACTCATATATTATTTTCAACGGCAAGTTCAAATAAAAGGTTTAAGTCTTCTTATATAATATCAATGAACCCATGACTTTATCCTAAAAAGAATTATGAAGGAGCTCGGATTTGTCTTTTACGCATTTGAATTTATCTCTTATTAGAGTCCGTCCCCACCATGAAAATGAATAAGAGACAAATCCAACTAAAAACCTTACATTCAAAATACATTCAACTTGATAACACAGAATTAAAAGCCACTTAATCATGAAAATACCATAGACCTTATGGTGATACCATTATACGAAATACATGTTCTTAAACTGAATATGGAAATTGTAAAAATATCTCAACCACTTAATTTTGTCTTGAGCAATTAGGAACTTTTCAATGATGTGGAGCTCTTAGCTTGAGATGGAATTGCTGAAGTGTCCTTGATTGGTAACTGTGACTATTGTTTGAGGATGAGCCAATAAAGAAGATTACTTGCTCTTGGTTGTCAGCAAATACCTCGAGAGATCTTGGAATGGGAGACTGTGTCACATCCAAAAGCCCCTCAAGTATCAGCATTACTTGACCCATTGATGGCCTATGAAATCTAGGATGCCCCAACAAGCGACTTTACAAATTCTTGAAAGCTCATCCACATCAGCATTTCCCTTCAATCTTGGATCCAATACGCTAAGGACATCTCCACCTTCAGCAATTTGGCTTGTAGCCCAAGTTGGGAAGAACTTCCATCTTCTGGTTGCTCAGAGTTTCTCCTTCCAGGTACAGTTTCAAAAAGCATCATCCCATAGCTATAAACATCAGCTTAATTTGGCTATGATGGCCACTCCTGAAATCCATTCTGGTGCAAGATAACCTCTTGTTCCTCTCATGGTAGTTAGCACTCGGCTGAGCTTCCTCCCGACGAGCTTGGCCAACCCAAAATCTGTCACTTTTGGACAAAATTCAGCATCTAATAGAAGATTCTCTAGCATTATGTGACGGTGTATGATGCAGTCTCTGCATTTCTCATGGAGATAAGCCAATCCTCTGGCTGTTCCCAACGCAATTTTGTATCCTGTTTTCCATTCAAGCACCTCTGAATTCTTCTCATGGAAGAGGTGGGAATCTTAAGAATCATTTGGCATGTACTCATAGACCAACAACCTGCTAGTTCCTTTTGAGCAGAGTCCAAGAAGCCGCACTAGATTGACATGTTGGATATTTCCTATTGTGCTGACTTCCGTCAGGAAATGTTTCTCTCCTTGGCTCAAGCTTTCTAGCTTCTTCACTGCTATGACAATTGAATTAGGCAATGCTCATTTGAAAACTGAACCAAAACCTCCCCCACCGGATTTTTCTGAGAAATTCTTTGTAGCTTCTTGCAAATCTTTGTATGCAAATGCCACCAATGAACCCTCCTCTGCTTTGGTGGTGTTGTTTGCTCTCTTTCTCCTTCTCAAGTATACTAACACAAAGAGACCAAGGAGAACTAAGAAAACTGGTGTGCCCACAACACCAGAAATGACAGTTCCTTGTTTCTGGGATTTTAAAACTCTGAAGCTGCAAGCTTGATATAAATAATTTTACCATTTGTGTCACCTTGAGCAAGTTGTTGCAGATTCAAGAGATTCCCGATCCATATTGAACACTGGTTGTTTTCGTAAGCATAAGCAGTGCAAGAGCAGTTACTCAAGCAGGGTTTTTCATATTCCATGATACTTCCTGCTGAAATAGACTTTAGATGTTTAGGTAAGACCAAGTTATTATTTTCAGTTTTCCTAACACAACCACCAGAATAGTCCTCTACCATGTCCAAATCGTGAATCAAATTTGGCGTGAAACCCAGCAAACAAGCACAGAATTATTTTTATCACGTCGCTCCAGTCAGAAGTATTTTCCAACTAAAAGCTTCTATTCAAATTTTTGGAGTGTGACAAAGTTTTCTTTAGAAATGTCAGCCTTGGTATCTAACTGAAATTTAAGATTCTTGCTTTTATTGATATTAAAAGAGGAGGCTTATCGGTGATCAACCTTAATTTAGAGAGTGGATCGAATAGATTTTGTTGAATTTTGAATCATGTAGATTTGCTTGTGTGCGTGAATTTAGAAAAGGTGAATTCTATTTGTGTGTTTGCAATTGGTTGTTTTTTCTCTTCAGGGAAAAGAAATCTAAATTTTAGATATATAACAAGTAAATGGAATTGGACCTGGGACAGAGATGAAATGGAGGTCATCCAAGTTCAACATCCCCAGCTTTAACACTTAATTTTGACAGCTGAGTCGAAGTGCGTCTATGGACCGTCACACGGACGGAGCATAGATGAGAGAATAAACTAGGCTACTTTAACTATAAAGCTCCAGTTAGATTATGAGGCACAATGCAATTAAATTTATGTTGAAACACACTTTCAAATTGTTACCCACAACTTTATAACATCTCTGAAGTGTTTATAGGTTTTTTTTTTTTTTTTTTTTTTTTTTAAAAGAAGGCAAATTCCTGAACCAAAGTTGTTTGTTTAGATTGTCATTTCTAACAGGAAATAAACAATTATTTGAAACATTAACTGCAAGAAATGCTATAGCAAATTACATTACCTTACACTGGAGAGTATGAATAGAAATACAGTCTATTTAAATATGCATAAAACTTGTTAGAACATATGATAAAATGCAAAAATACCTATCCTTTAACCAATTATGAAAGTGCTCAACAAAACTTGAATTTATTCTCTTCAAACGGACTCAGGAACTAGTCGAAGATGTGGTGCTCTTAGCATGAGAGGAAGTAGCTAAAATGTTACTCCGTGACTGTGAACTCTAAATTGAGGATGACTTAGTAAAGAAGATTATGTTCTCCTGATTGTCAAAAAATACTTGGAATGATCTTGGAATTGGAGACCGGCTAACATCTAAAACCCCCTCAAGGATCTGAACTACTTGACCCATTGTTGGCCTGTGAGTTTCATCATCTTGAATGCACCAACCAGCCACTTTACAAATTCTAGAAAGCTCATCCACATCAGCATTCCTCTCCAGCCTCGGATCCAATAAGCTAAGGATATCACCCCCTTCAGCGATTAAACATGCAGCCCAATTTGGAAAGTATTTCACTTTTCCATCTGCACAATGCTCTGAGTTTCTCCTTCCTGATACAATTTCAAAAAGCATCATCCCATAGCTATAAACATCAGCTTTGGCTGTTATGGCTACTCCTGAAATCCATTCGGGTGCCAGATAACCCCTTGTGCCTCTCATGGTTGTTAGGACCCGGCTGAAATCTCTTCCCACCAACTTTGCCAATCCGAAATCCGCTACTTTTGGACAAAATTCAGAATCTAATAGAATGTTCTACTTTATAGTGGTAAGAGAGTTTATTGAAATATATGATCAATACAAATGTGTGATTAATTTATGTTTAATTAAGTTATTATGTTATTAAATTAGTTATGATATACATCACTTGATTATACAATATATTATGTTCATAAATTTATCATATTATATTTAATTAAGTTATTATATTATTAAATTTGTTATGCTATATATCACTTAATTATATAATATGTTATGTTCATCAATTTACCATACTATATTAACTAAGCTATTATATTATTAAATTTGTTATGTTATACATCACTTGATTGTACAATATGTTATGTTTATCAATTTATCATACTATATTTATTATTTATTAATTGAAATGCTATCTTATAATATTTAATTATTGATTACATTTGAAAAAATACGAAGCTATTATGTTATTGGATTTACTATATTATATATAACTTGATTATACAATCTATTATGTTATTAAATTTGTCATACTATGTATCATAATAATTTATTACTTTTTAATTAAAATAATATATACTTATATATTTAATTATTGATGACATTTGAAAAAAAAAAAATCCAAACATATTATATATATAAAAAAAAAAAAAGTATCATAATATTTTATTATTGATTACCATTAAAAAAAATTCATCCAACCTAAACCAAACATAATATAAAAAAAATATATATATATATAAATTATAATAATGCATACCATGTTTTTCAAACATAAACGAACGAACAATCGAACAGATTGTTCGCGAATAGATAGATCAATTGAACGTGTAATGTTCGCGAACATAATCGAACAAACAACCCATATTCGAACTTGATCGAACATATTCCACTCGCTCGATCCATCACTGATACCTTGCTAGAAATGCATCATGGTTCAGTTCAGTTTGAAAAAGTTTTGGCGCCACTGGAATT